ACAAATTCTTTTGAAGAATTCAGATTAAAGCTGTTTCGTAGTAAAAATAGCTTTTGTCCAAGGAAGCAAAACACATTTTTGCAAAGATTTATTTCTTAATTATAAGAATTTCTACAAGCTCTCTAAAATCTCCCCCTCCCCCTCCCCGCCCTCCCTCCGCCTAGTTTTCATCTGCATTATTGAAACTGAAACTTAGTTTCATCTGTTTTACGTCGGATTTCCGCAGAAAATTAATTTCTTACGAATTGGACAGTAGTCACATCCGTTTATCATTTTGTAGCTGTTTCAGTACTGAGACTGTGCCTCATCGAAAATACATGTGATGCCCTGCTGCTAGTAAGTTTGAGGCACAAACAAAAAGCTTTTCAATAATATTAGCGCCCAAGAATTCGGTTTCGACCACGAAAATTCAATCTGCTTGTGATTTCACTGTGAATCCAATGATAAACTAGCAAAGAGTACACCACAAGGTGTCGAAATCGTAATTAGTTGGGTTCTGAGTAATCTCTGAAAGGAAAAGACAATGATAGCCCTGCTTCGAGTACCTCCACCTTTCGCAAGCTGAGATTTTAATTTTTGGAATAACTGTTATACTTTTTGTAACAAAAATACCAGTTGACTGAAAAATATTTTCCTCGTATCTTAGCTTGTTATAAATGCCTCTCTGGAAAATTTCTGGTTGCTTTATTGCAGTAATCTCATTGAAAGAATAGCCTGGCTAAGCTAAGAGAAAAAGGCGATAAGACGAACGGCAAGCTTTATAAATTTTAGACTTATTTTAAGTTGTTTTTGTTACGGACTGTAAACGTTCTGTGTTGCACTTAAGAAAGCGCCATCTTTTTATTGTTTTTCCATCCACATCATGCAAAACTTGCAATTTATTTGTTCTCGAGTAGCTTGTGAATGTACTTGTCCTTCTTTCTTTTCGTCTTCATATTCTTGGGGACGACTGCTCCGCCTGAGGGTAAGTTTCGACTAAGCATGAACTGAAGTGCAGCACCCATCAAACGCAAATTCTTCAGTGGCACCATTATTTGCAATCTCTAAAATGATGCAAGAGTGATGGGAATTGAAGAATTCGACTCGAAGTTTTGATTTAAGCAAATCCAAATAAGTTTGTTTAGTTCAGTACAAGCTTGTCCAGAGCGCCAATGCGAGTTTCATCCTCTAGCTATAAAAAAATCGGAAATTTGACACAAAGCCGACCCCACTGACTCAGATTTCGTGGCGACAAGCTGCAATAGAACAAACAGGCGAGGGATGGTGCTGTCACCGGCGTCAAGAAAATAAATTAAAGTAAGTTATCGTTGCTTCGCGCGACTTATATTCAACATTC